CACAATATCTATCATCTCGATTCAAAATGCTGTCAATATAGAATTCCCGTTGAGCAATTGCATTGATACATGGTTCTCTTAGTATATAAATTCTATTTCTTTCTTGTTCAATAATAGCTACCCCTGTAACTATCACAGTTATAGCTGCTCCTATACATGCTGCATGAATTATCTAACTATCCATAACATGAAAGTGAAGTTTTCTGATAACAAAACCTATAAATTTAGGGAAATAAATATTAAAAAAAGCATATAAAATACTTCCAAACTCAATACAATAAACATCATATATTAATCAAACACTAATCATATATTAATCAAAGCAAACTCAAACACAAATTTATGTTTATTGTTCTGTTATAATTCCCCTTATTAATGTAACATGTATTTAAACATCCTATTTCACACGGTAATGGTGTAATTATTCACAATAATAATATAACCATATGTAATTAGGGTACTCATTTCACATCATTACATAACAATAAACAGATGTATAAATCACCAAGTAATAAAAAATAAACAATAAGCTTGTTAATGAGTTTTACATGTGAAAAAAAACCTTCTAAATTCGTTAACTCTCGCTCAAATACATAGAAAAAAATGGGAGCTCACATTCTCTAGTTAAAACTCTAATCATCTCTTATATTTCCCTAATAACACACACAGCTTAACCCATGTTTTGCATATGCTCATAAGACTAAATTCATTGCCTAAATTCAATGGCTTATAATTCCATCCCCCCTCTCTCTCGGTCGGTTCCCCTCTCTCTCGGTCGGTTCCCCTCTCCTATTCCCCTATTCCCTGTTTCCTATTCCCTCTCAATTGATTCCCCCCGATCCCTCTCCCATTCCCCTGTTCCCTGTTCCCTTTCAATTGATTCCCCCCATTCCCTCTCCCTCTCAGTCGATTCCCCCTGTTTCCTCTCCCTCTCGGTCGATTCCCCTCTCCTTCTTGGTCGATTCCCACTGTTCACTCTCCTTTCGGTCGATTCCCCATGTTCCCTTTCCCTCTCGGTTGATTCCCCTCTCAGTTTCTCTCATTCCCTCATTCCCCTGTTCCCTCTCGGTTTCTCTAATTCCCCTTCCCCTGTTCACTCTCCCTCTCTATATCTCTCATGCCCTTGTCCCTGTTGGTTTCCCCGTGTTCCCTTTCTGTTTCTCTCCCCATTTGTGCACAAAGAAGCAAATATTTAAGACAAAAAAGCAAGACAAATATCAAACATTCAAGGGGCAATAGGGCTCCTCCTTCCCAGTTCTCCCCTGGCTACTGTTAAAAAAAAGAGAGAGCAAGGGTTGATTCTCAATGCTTTCGGGGATGGGGTAACAGGGAGGGGATTTTTTTTTGCCGGGGAAGATTGATTAACATAGTTTGGGGATTTTCAAGTGCCTCTCTCTCTGCATTTGATGGTGTTTGTTTGGGTAGAATAAACTGCCGAATGTGAGTGATAAAGAAGAAAATTATCATGAAAAAATTGTTGTGTTATGGAAATATTATACAATAATTTTTACAGATCTACAAAGAAGATAAAAACATAAAGGAAATAAAAAAATACCTGAAATTAATTGTTCAAGTGAAATGTTTTAATTGTCCACAAATAAAATGGTTTTGAAATGCTTCAAGAAAAAGAGAGAAAGATCGTAATTTGTAAAAGTAGACAATGAAAAAAGGAAAAGTGTTTTCCTTTCTTTATCAGAAGGAAAACACTTTCCTTTCATAGAGTGTTTTTTTTATGTTGATCGGAATTAAGTTTTCGTTGACTACTATTCCATGTTGTTACCAAACATGGAAAAGTAAGGAAAATGAATTCCAGGAATTCGATTTTCGTGAAACAAACAAGGCATTAATGAAAACAACACTTACAAATAATATTTGAAATTATTATTGTAATTATTTTTTAAAATATTTTTTATTTAAAAATATATTAAAATAATATTTTTTTTATTTTTAAAAAATTAGTTTTGATATTAATACATTAAAATTATTTAAAAATATTAATTTAAAATAAATAAAATAAAAAATTTTAAAAAAATTTTAAAATATAAAAATAAACAAGTAAAAATTTCTAAACTGCATAGCCCAAAACTTTTCAAGCAACCAAAGTTAGATTAATGTTAAAAAATAAAATTTTAAAAAAGATTAATGTTAAAAAATAAAAATTTAAAAATAAAAAATAATATTATATTAATATATTTTAAAAAAATCACTTTAAAATACAATATTTATCATACTTTTAAATAAACCCTTATAAAAAATAAAGATATTAATTACTGATTAAAAAGAACTAAAACCTTTACGAAATCACTGTAGCTATATAATAAAAAATATTATTTATTAGA